TTTTCCATGAGTGCTAATTTAAGAGGGACAACCACGTGCTGTATAGGTGATTTAAAATGTTTCGTAAAAACATGGCACAATTTTATCGTTTCGCAAATGTATCGCATTGATTTTCCTCATTAAAAATGGTTTGCACTTCAAATAAACAATAGGCGAATATGTTGGCTTTGGAAAATAGGTAACAAATAACTTTCATGGGGTGATAAGGCAGTTTTGCTGATTTAATTTGCCATTCCATCGATTATTTGTCATATCAGTAGTAACTAAATAGCTGTGTAATTTCTTTAAATTTACGCACCATGAGAAGTATTGTCAAAGGCATTTCGTATGAGTGGGTGACATGATATCGAATTATCGATATTGCTAAATTATGGGGGCTTGAATGAAAAAAAAATTAACATAGGTTAACTTTCGTAAAGGTGGGGTGTGCGATAGACTTACCTCCACGTGGTGCACCCTGGGCAACGTATACTCATACCGCGGAAAAGTCTATTAACTGGCAGTTGACTTCAGACTTCAAACTACTCTCACCCCATTGTATGTCATATTCGACTACTTCCACACTACTCACCTCACCTTTTTCCACTTTTGTGTCTGTCTCTTTTACATCTTTGAAACACTCTTTTGTTCCCCCCCCCCCTCTCTCTCGACTTGTTTCACTTTGATGTTCCTCCTCTGTGAAGCCTGAAGTCAACTAAAGGGCTAATGATAACCATCAAAACGCCTGCCATTTGATATAAATAAATAAATACTTTCGTAAAGGTAAGTAAATGACATGAAATTGATCTAAAATTTTAATCATAAGGTCAGCACTTTTGCCCACAGTATCATCTAAATCAAGGTTAAAGGAGGCTAATAAGAAGTAAAAAAAACAGGTCACGACTTAACTGCAATCATATCATGCCTGACTTTTCTGCCTGATTCTCCCTCTCAACGTTCTCTACGTCTTAGCACACACACACTATGAGTCTTTACTGAATGCCTAGTGCATTGTGATTTGAAGAAAACAGTGGTCTACCTTTAGTAGCTGAGAGGAAATTGAGTCTAATAAATGCAGATACATTTTAACACAGATCCCGGTTATGAGCTCCTACCTACCATTTGTAACTAGTATTGGACAGAAGCGTCGGCAATAGTGTTGTTAAAGAACAACTCTGCTTAGCTGAAGGTCACGAGATTGAAAGCGTCCAATGCACAGCTAGTGGTTAGTTGGCCAACCTCGTTGATTAACTCTAGTAGACAGAAGGGTTAGGGGAATATATAAGCCCTCCCAATAGCGTCTCAAGGACATACACACACTCTCTCTCTACCTCCACCCAAAGTACATTTTACGAATCTGGGAAGTTACATGACAACTAACAGATCGCCAACAATGAATATTGGGACAGGGTCAAGCGGTTCAAACATTTTAAGATAAAAAAGCTCACCGAAACGGGATCCCATTTCCGAAAGATATCTTCGTATTTAGGCCCAAGTTATTTTAATTCCGTTTTCCACTCCAACTGCTCGGCACCACGTTGGTAGAACTACCTGAAGAACACCTATTAATACCAAACTCAACGCATCAACTTGGTAATTCGCAAAAGTGTCTTCTTATTAAGAGAGAAATACAAATGTACTAATCGACAGAACACGTTACAAAAAGCAGTAAATGGAATCGCTCCTCCAAGCCTTTTCCACAAAATGAGAGCTACAGAAATCTAACTTTTGGAAAGTATATAACTAACAAAAATGAGCTTCGTGACTAACTATCCTTCTGAACATTCCAGAACACATCACGCAAGAAATAATGCAAGAAAACAGGTAAATCAAAGGTGCCACCATTGTTGCTTGGTGGAAGTAGTAATTACAGTTATAATAGTACAGTTAGTCGTGAAAGAGCTCAGCTGCGCGCACATAACTCACAAACAAAGCGTCAGCCACCCCCGGCGGAAAAGGTAGGGAGGAGAGCTGGCACACAAAATATGGAGAAGGAAAGAATAAAGAGAGAGAGTTATAATAAGGCAAATGACACTAGAAAAAGGCCAAGTGGTGGATGGGTGGGGTGATATAGAAACTGTATGTACACAGAGCAGAGCAAGAGACGAGGCAGATAGGAATGTTGGGAGGCGAAAAACAGCCGAGAGGACGCTGTGAAGAAAGAGACTAGCGTGGGAGAAAGAGAGAGCAGACTAACGATCAAGGAGGGGCAAGGGGCTGTAGTTCACGGATCTGCTTGATCAGGTACTGCTTCTCATCGTTGAATTGAGTATCCTCTGACCTATCCGTTTGGAAACTCTGCAGGAAAGAGATCAACTTGTCCCGATTTTGGTAGAGTATCATATGAACTGGCCTCGATTTAGTTGGACTAGCCACAAATACCTATTTTGAAACCATAGAGATAAAAAAGCATAATTAGACGATTGATTATTAATCACCTCGAACCCAACATTGTGGCTAGATACAGAATGTCAAGCTATGCCTACAAAAAAAATTCCCATCGAAATAAATCGGGAAAGGATCAAAAAGGACATCCTGTTTGACAATTCAGCTGAAAACAAAATGTAGCATCCATGGATACATACATGAGAATAAATGTCAGAAGCAAGCAATTTGAAAAACACATTTTGTAATCTTACAGATTTCGAAACTTATATTCAAGTCCCGGGGTGTGCAATAGACTTACCTCCACGTGGTACACCCTGGGTAACGTATACTCATAAGGCAAAAAAGCCTATTAACCGGCAGTTGACTTTTGACTTCAAACTACCGTGACCCAACTGTATGTCATATTCCACCAATTTCGCAGTACTCAGCTTACCTTTTCCCTGAGTTTGTATTCCTCTGTCTTTTTACATATGTGGATCACTTTTCTGGTCCCCTCCACTTTGTCTCATTTTGATGTTCCTCCTCCTATCTGTGAAGCCCGGAATCAGATAAAAGGGCTAATGATAACTATCATAAAGCCCGTCATTTGAAATAAATAAATAAATATTCAAGTCCCTTTCTCTTGACCAATTAGTAACGAGTGTGGCAAAATGTTTACTTAATTCATGTCGCACCCCGTGACCTCTAACTTGATAGACATGCCTATTTATGACCCCAAGTGCACATCCTCCCAATTCGAACGGTGCATAATTGCAACATTCGCCATAGAGAGTTCAAACATTAAAATGCAGCTAAATGGTAAATAGCGTGTTTTTGAGGTGCATCAAATAACATTGCGCATTTGTGGCCATAATCGCCGTGTTGGGCCTAGAGTTAAAAATGATTAAATCTAAAAAAATGGGACATTACACAGCCCCCCCCCCCCACAATGCATATGCGAATACGGACAACCCAGCGCCCCCGAAATTCAAAAAAATAGTAAGAATGTTGAAGCTTCGATTTGCATAATATACTTCATCCTATCCACTGCTTCATACCTTCCGATACTATGGCATGAGCAAACTTGCAGAAGATTTATTTCCATTGGCTTGTACCCAATCAAAAGAATACCCAAACAATCCAATTATAAGGTGATCAAAGTAAACGAAACCCTCACAATTGCGCAGAATTAATCCACCAAAAATGTGCACAATTAGCAAAATATAGAGAATCATCAGGTATCCGACACAAGAGGCACACACACGCACACACAAGCAAAACAAAATTATAAGGGCTTTCCAATTTCATTTTCAAATGATTCGAGATGACAGAAAAGAAGACCACCCTAACCCTATTTGCAATAAATTTAAAAGATTTATTTGCAAAAAAATGACACTTCCATTAGATTGAAGTCATCAAACAAGTCACACGAGGTGGCAGAAAAAAATCGCAAAACTCGCAAGTTAAACTAATGCTGCTTGAAGGGTAATAACTTAAAGTGTGCATCTTAGTTAATAACACCAACAGTAATTAAATTTAAAGGTGAAAGAGAATATTATCGCGCAATCCGGGGAAATCTCATGTAAAAAGCGCACGCACGCACAAATCAGTTCGAAAGTAAATGCTGTGAGAAGTCGTCTTTACTCAATTACTTGAAGCAAGTTTCAGAAAGCATTTCGCCTCATCAGCATCACCTTTGAACTGGAAATGCAATTCGGTAGACACCACGAATCATGAGGACAAACCGTAAAACGGTGGAAATTTCACAACAGTTAGGCTTAAAGTAATTGGGAAAGCTCTGATTGAATGAACGCGCAGCTTGAAAAGGAAACCCAAAGTTGGAATTGAAACTACCCTTAACTACGAGAGAGAACCGAGATTTACAAGTTCAAGCATGTCTTTAGAGCTTCGTCAATAACATACAACCGTCCGGTCATTTTACGTAAGGTCAGCACCAAGGCGTATTGCATCTCAAAATAGCTAGTAATCGTCAAGTATTTAAATGCTCCATATAAGTTTAGACCTAGCTTCCACGGGCTTTTTAGTTCCCGATACGGGGTGTACGATAGACTTATCTCCATGTGGTGCACGCTGGGCAACGTATACTCATGCGGCAAAAAGTCTATTAACTGGCAATTGACTTCCCACTTCAAACTACCATCACCTCACTATATGTCATATTCCACTTCTTCCGCAGTACTTACCTCACCTTTTTTTCTACCTTTGTGTCTGTCTCTTACATCTTTGAAACACTCTTCTCTTCCCTCCCCCTTCTCGACATTTTTTCAATTTGATGTTCCTTCCCCTCTGTGAAGCCTGAAGTCAACTTAGGGGCTAATGATAACCATCAAAACGCCTGCCATTTGATATAAATAAATGTTCCCGATACTACAGGAACACCCCCCCCAAGGGTAATCTCTTTAAGTCCTTAGATTAAGCGAAAAAGCATGCAATTTAATGGCGCCTTAGACAGTCCCCAAAATTTAACCATGAAAAAATTTACGAGTGGAAATATTGATTACAAAATTACACAGGCAACAGTGGAGCCAACTTTTTTTTAGAAGAAGCCCAATCACTTGCTAAATAAATTATGGAATTTGTCTGAGAACCTTTTGACCCATCCACGTAATTACACAATGTCATTTTTCAAATAGAACATGTATTTTTGTCCTTTTAGAGAATCTCATCGAGCATAAAAATAAAAATGATACAAATTAATATATATATCTAACTAGTTCAGGCAAAAAAGGGATACGATTTAAAACAATTATTTATACACTGTTTTGATAATATTTTAAGTAGACAGACCATTTGATATTATTGAAGATTTTGATATTTCTCAAATATTGCTTAGGCTAGAGAGCTAAAAGTTTAATAAAGTAATGAACTGAAAGTTCATCTTTCCTATAAATAGTACAGGTTAGGAGAATGTTTTGACACCAAATTTAAAGAGAAATTTCATCTCACTTCACCACAATCATGGAATAGACTAATTTTAATCTCAAGATGGGAACGAGAAGATAATGAATATTCTAGGCTGAGCACTCCCTCGTTAGCTTGCCGGCACTTAATTTTCACGAAAGGACTATAAAAACTTAAGTATTGAGTTGTTAATGCAACGCCACTCTAAAACAATAAATCATCGATAACAATTACTGGGACTGAAATCTTGCAACCAGCATCCAGTTAATTGGAAGATTCAGCTCTAATCTAATGGAAGATATAAGAATAGCTACATATATACTAAATTGTAAGCGGGCAGTTAAATCACATTCCGCTGACTAAGTTCATCTTTGAACAGAAGTAATGGATTTCGATTTATCCGGAGTTGAAGTGAATACGAAACGAGTCCCAAACAAATATTTCAGGTAGGCTTAATCGCATAGACGCAAGCACAAACACGCGATAAGAATTTGATCCAGATGATATTGAGGGTTTAGAGGCTTATAAACGAATACCTATAATCAATATAGAGGACGATTTTTCGGTAAGATAGGCAAAATCGATTTCACAACCATAGCATGTATATATTTTACTCTTCTTACGAAGGCTATTTTCAGAGCAATTTACATACACTCAAAAGGCACGGGATAGTTCATAAGACAAGGCACATACACAAACAGAAAAGCACACACACACACACGGACGCAATTGGATCTATAGAGGTGCGCATATAATCGTCCCATGATTCAATAAATTTAAATTGCTAGAAAGTGAATTTAAGCATTACATTAATTCCATTCCCAAGCTAATTGCAAGGATAATAATTAAGAGCCGGAAGGAGAGATAAAAAGCGACATGTCAAAGTGAGATAGTTCTTTGATCACGGTCTTAATTCAACCCTAAAGATTGTGAATGAAAAAGTTGATCAGAGGATTCAAGAACACACAAGCCTTCGAGTAAAATATATACAAGAAAGTTCACAAATCGATTAAATGAGCACTCACCTTAAAGATAATAAACGATAAATCACTAGAACCATAATATTGAAGGAGAGATCAAACCAGCGAGACCCATGAATGTATTCCATAACAGCAAAAATTAGATGAGTAACAAAAAGATATTTTTCGATAAACACGCCTATGAATCCACCACATATTGGCAAGAAAAAATACCAGGGTTTTCAGAGGATCCGCCCAGGGCGGTTAAACGAAAAACCCCATCTCATGAAACAATTTTTGGAACCAACTGAATAAGCGCCCATGGGCGATGATACAGAAGTAGAATATTTCGCCTATTGCGCAATGTGCATTCGGAACGACGTAGCCCGCAGGGAGAGAGAGTCAAGATTCAGTCAAAAATAGAGAAAAGTTATATGACTGCATTTTGGCTTTTAAGCCCAAATATCACGGTACAAAATTTTAATTACAGATGCGCTTTCCATGGGTATTAGGCAAATTAAAAATGCTTGACGATGAAAACACAAATGAACTTCACGCCCAGTGACCTAAGGAGCTGTTCCACAATAACGTCTTCTCTTAAATTTCGTATTAAGATCACACAGAGATAATCTCTGAAATCACAATTGTCTTTACATAGATGTCTGTTCCCAAGACCAAAGGTATACGTCCTTCTCTTAATAGTATACTTTTTACCAGCTTAGGAATAACTGAACATCATACAATGTCCAAAACTAGAATAGTCATTTCAATTTCAGAAAGTCTTCGAATCTGCATACGAGAAAAGCATACTGGAGGAGAGAAATGATTCTGCGAACCCTTGGAAGGGGAATAAAAAATGCTACTTAAAATTACATTAAAAAGAGCAAAGCATTAAAACGAAGTAATGAGAGCCACCTGAGCTTCCAAACTCAACGAAGTGTTATTGATTTATTGACCAAAACGTAAATTTGAGAAAATCATAGATATGGAATGATCACCATATTGATTTAAACCATGGAAAAGCAAATAGTGAACATAAGCACCTAACACCCTTGTTCGATAAAGAAAAGGATGTTATTTAATAATTTCAACTAGCTTAAAATAACTTCTAAAAGCAATATGCTCAATATAACGAAGCGCTTCGATAGAAACAACCACATACCGGTGGCCAATTACTGAATGTTAGCATTCACTTAATTCGATTCAATACTCATTCACATATATTCATTGGGCTAAAAATGGTGGGAAGAAAGAGGATTTCGAGATTCTCAACAGAAATATTTTTGAATGCCACCGCCTCGATCAGGATGAGTGTTCAAAACGCCTAAGTCCACTTGATTTTCGAATTCCTCTTTAAGTGAACAATACGCGTACGTTAACATGATGAGGAACTAGAAGCCTTCTATTAACCTAAACTAATTTCCTCATCAATCAGTCAGTTCTCTTAAGTCTTACTTGGGAAAAATTACCTTGAAGCAATGGAAGGTTTCGAAGGCGATTTGCTTCTCCTTGCTCTTGAGCAAATTCATCATCAGTTTGAGATTTTCCGGATCAGCAATATATCGATTCATGATTCGGCTGTTGTGACGGTCCAAAAGTAGTTCTCCAAGAAGCTAAAGATGAGGAAAATTTAGACCAAACAAATTTAGCAATAATTTGCATCAATATCGACAATACCAAGTCTTTAAAGCGAAAAGAACACAAGTCGTTCTAGTATGTTGATTTCATAAAAGTACAGAACCGAATAACGGCCATAATAAAATAGGTGAAACTCGAAATTACTTAGTGAAATTGGTAGAATTATGAGAACATTGTGAGCGAAAAAGCTAGAATTTCTATTTCACATGATTTAATTAAACATGCATAAAAGAAAATTTGGCGCTACATGCAGAAAACATGAATAACAACAAGTATGCTATATTGAGCTGGCGAAAATTCACATACTAAACACATAAACAATGATATTAATGTGACAGAAGAGAGAACTAGACGATTAAGTTGAAATAATTTCAACGCAAGTCGAGCCTACCTTTAGAGCTTGGCGTTTGGTAACATAATTTTCAGAGGTGAGCAAAGTCAAATAGCACTTGAAGAATTCATCATAATTTTTCTCCAAAAAGTCGGCTACCTCAGGCTTGTGTCTCGTTAGAAGGTCTCGAAGTGTGGTGAAAGCATCAGAACTAATGTCAAAAGCTGTTCCTTGAACATGGATAAAAAGGTCATAGAAACCAGGAGAACCAAGCACCAGCTTAGTTATATTTTCATTTCTACAAGCATCTCGTAAAATCTGTAATTTAAAGGAATAAGTTTTAATAAAATTAGCAAAGAAAAATAATAAGAAGCAAATAATTTCCTACAGCTCCGAAATGAATAGCAGTTTCCGGTGTATAATAGCCTTTAAGAAGAGTATTAAGTATTTCAGGGTGTTCCAATAAATATCTAATAATTGGATTAAATGGTCGAGCAGGTTTGCGAAGAATATGGGCAAAAAGATCAACAATTTGTTTGCAACTCTCGAATTCAATCTCCTCCAAATGAGCGAGAATAAGAGGAACCATATCGCGATTGATGATTTCTTGAGTCACCTCAGAAAGCAATTCACTAATGCGAGTACGTTCGAGATTTGAAGCCTCTGAGTCTCGTTCTCTGCCAGTGGATCTACCATCGGAGCGATCAGTCAAAACTTCCTTAAGATTATTAAGAGAACGAGCTATCTCTTCAACAGCTTTCCGTTTGTCCTTCTCGTTTTTGTTTGGATTATCAAGTACCTAAATAGGAGCCATCAAAACATAATCTAATATTATATTACTAATAGGCTTTCATTGATAGCCGTGATTTGTTCCCGAGGTTGCCTATGCTTGTTAAACATTGGCATCATAGGCATGATAACTGAGAGCTGAATTAAAAATAATATAAAATAAAAGTGACAAACAATACCATGCAAAGAAATCAGCTATGATGAGTGGGCCAGACAGTTATACGACCAAATGCTTGTTATGAGCAATAGGCGCACGCGCCGACCAATCAAACTAACTAAAACACGAACTGCTTTGTTTTTAATTCATACTTATAGTTACTAACAATATAACAATATTTGTTAACAAATAAATTATTAAAAAAGTATATTTTATCTAAATATCTGTATTTAATATTTCATAATAATGTTATAATTAACTGTCACCGATAGAATATAAATCTAATTGACCTAAATATTCAAATATAACCACTAATTTCTCCAGAAGCAGTGTTCATTGTTGTCTATTTTAGTCAAACAATAAGCCACATCATTCGGTTCTTAAAGCTAATCATTTTTAAAGTAATTCTATATATACGAATAATAAGGAGTAAATGTGCGAATCTGAATATTGTCAAAGTCCAAATTCAAAAATAATCATGAGTGTTTGTGTTTCATGAGATCATATAGGGACTTCACACCAAGATTTATTCTTATGTACCGCTTGTCTGTAAATATTTGCTGTTAGTTTACGTTTTTTGTGTATGTTTTTTTTGAAAATTATCTGCTAATATATTCAAAGGGAAAGAATTTCAGCACTTGCTTTCAAAAAGAAAATTGAAAAAGAGACAAACATATATTACACTCCAATGTGCTAACTTATTCAGTTTATTTTAGCGATATTCAATTACTTGAAATTTAATCCTTTTGAATTAATACTTGGCAATTCCTAAATCACAATAAATGCTATTATTGAGAATTTAGAGTGCCAATTTATAACTTTTTAGCTAATATTATGTATACATTGAAGTTAATTATAATTTGAAACTTATAACGTTTTAATAATGGATGTAAATATAAACTTATTTATGTCAAATGGCAGACGTTTCGATAGTCATCATTAGTCTTTTATTTGATTTCATGCTTCACATAGGGGAGTAGGAACATCAAAGTAAAAAAGTCGAGAGTGGGAAGGGGAAAACCGAAGTATGTTTCACAGATGCATAAGAGACGGCCATAAAGGTAGAAAAAGGTAAGGTGAGATGAGTACTTTGGAGGTAGTCGAATTTGATATACAGTGGAGTCATGTTGTT